AAAAGGCAGCCAATTTGGTTCAATCTCCCCATCAATTTGATGATGTCTTGATGATTCTCAAGTCACATATGCTATAACTAAGAAGTGCTGTGCTATATGAGCCTTACTTACTATATACATGGCAATCAAGTTTTGGCATGCCTGCTAAAAAATGTGATGCTCTACAGTCAATTTTTATTTTTTTAAGAAAATGTGTTAATCTGTTTGCTGTATATAATTGCTCATTAGTTAATGCAGTTTATTTACACATCCCATGAAAACCACTTTAAAAAAAATTGTGCCTATTTTGGCAAGTGCCCAGCAACTTTTGCTATTATTATTTTCTGGCCATCTTTTGTGAAATTTTACTTGCTAAAAAGGTCACATTTTTATCTGTTTAATTCCCACTCGGAAGGTGTTTACTAAGGGAATAATATGACCCTCATGTTGCGATTCTCTTGATTAGGATTGAACGATTGGAATTATTTGATGAGTTTGAAGAATGGCACCTGATGCAGGTAATTCTTTCTTTGTGACTATTAGTCTTAGGTGAAAGCACAAGCAATGTGCTGGTCCCATATCTTAATGGGGCAAGTGTGCATGCTTGATTCTCATTTATCTAGTAGGATAAAGTCGAGTGTTACTCTATCATTGTATATGTTTGCTTAGGGCCTTATAACTGCAGGATCATTGATTGTTCATGTCTTTTCCATTCGTGAAACTATAAACTTAGTGCCGAGACCATAATATCAAATCAATTTTCTTATGATGCATGGAACTGGATTTCACTACATAATAAATATGTGGTTAAAGTTATTTCTCTCCCCTCTACACAAATTTCAACCACACAATTTTTTACATTATTATTATTCTACATGCAAGTCAAACTCAGAGCAAATTTTGTGGGACAGATAGAGTAATATATTTATATAATAGCCATAAGAAGTCGATAAAGTGATAAGTGAATAACAGATAAAAACAAATAGCTGGAGATGTAGCGAAGGTTGTCTTCAACCTTGCAACGCAGCAGTCGCAGGTCATTTTCAACCTTGTAATGCAGGCACGCAACAGAGAAGTAGTGATTAGCGATGCTTCGAGTTTAGTAGTCATAGGTTGTCCTTTGAGTTCTAGACTTTGAGAAAGTTTCGGTTCCTTTGTTTATAATCAAGTTACTTTCTAAAACTCCAAATTAGTTTCTAAATTACTACTTTTGTAATTTTATCTTTTATTATTGCTCTCTAGATATTGTCTTGATTGTTGCTTGTATCTCAATATAAACCTTTTCCATTAAAAAAAATCTTGTTTTTTACTAGGCTTCTAAAATGAATTTATTGAGATTTTAATCTCCCTTGGCGTGACTCGATGACCTTGCTTGACAAAGTGATCTCTAAAAGTTTATTTTTTCATTTTTTCCAGATGGATCGTACTAGATTCAGAGTAAAAATGTTAAGTATTTTATCGGGTCTGGTCTGTTTAAACATAAGCATGAAAGAAAGATTATAATGATTATTAATGTTTTTTAAGAATCTTGCCCATTGTGTGATCCATTGATAAAATATACAGACTCTGAATCTTGCCATTGTGCAATCCATTGATTAAATATACAGACTCTGAATCTTGCCCATTGTGCGATCCATTGATAAAATATAGAGACTCTGAATCTTGCCCATTGTGCGATCCATTAATAATCCACGGATGTGGAATGTTTTTTTTCAGAGTCTTTGTATACTTTATCTGGTCTGGTCTGTTTAAGCATGGTTTGTTTAAGTCTCTTATGTTCTGGTTTGAGACTGAAGCGGATTCAAGTAAAAGCATTTTTAAGCACTGATTATTTTTGAAGAAGCACTATGTGATACTGTTCCTGCAATTGCATTCTTTTAGGAGCACTACTGTGTCGCGTATGCCATCAATGATATGCTGGTATGCTTTTACCATATACTGAGTACACTTTGTTCTCATTAAAATGCTTGACATTTTTACTGCATGGAATCATCATTGTATGATTGGGATTGCTTCAGGGAATTTTCAAAGACTTCGGCTTCCCTAATGTCCAACCTCAGATAGGCGCTTCAACTGCTACATCCTTTTGAAGAATGCAATGGTTACCAGCTTTCAAAGCATTTTTACCCATCTCTGATGTTTATCAAAAACACTTGCAATGTCAGATACCCAAAGCTACAACGTTTCAAAACCAAGTTCCATAGCTCTCTACTTATCAATGTTCACATGTAGATATATCCCCCTTTTCTTTCATTGTTTGAGTTATGGGGGGAAAAACTAAAAAGGATTTTACTCTCACGCTATACAGGTGTAATGATAAAATTTTAAACGCATTCTTTATTGACTTGTGTGGAAAGATCCAATCTTTCGTTGTTGCAAGGAATGCAAGCTATTTAGCAATTAATGGAGCATCGGTGGGGACCACACACTATCACAATGCCGTGTCATCTGATGGGGCCTTTGGTGTGTGTGGATGGGTGGCATCCACCTCCCTTTCATACCACTTTCACACTTTGCTTAACCATTCAATCTTTGGTAATTCTCAATTGGTCATTATACCCACCCCACCTCTGCTGTTGGTAGGCACTGGGCAGAAGAGTATTGCACAGTGACAACTTAAGGGCTAAGGGTCGTTCCTCCTATCTATCGTTCTTGCCCACCAACACACTAAGTGAGATATAGGGGTGTTTGGAACTGATTCTGCTTTTGCTTCTTTTTTAAAGCAGAAGCAGAATCAGAATCAGTTTTCAGAAGCTGGTACCCCCCAGCTTCTAAAAAAACCGATTTTGGGAGTAAATTAGAGCACCAGAAGTGCTTCTGGAATTTCACCCAAACACTCCAGTTTCTGCTTTTACTTCCTGAAGGAGCAGAATCAGTTTTGAGAATCACATCCAAACACCCCATATTTAGTTAAACAAGGGGCGCATGCTTTGTTGACAAAAATACCATTTAAGTGGGTCAGGGAGCTACCGGCATCTATTGTCTTCAAGGGTGATGAAGGTGTGTTGGGGTTTATTTCATCAACTTGGATGACAGTGGGATAAAGTCATAAAGTTGTAGAAATAGGGCGGTGACTAGGACCTTTTGAGTGAGACAAAATGTTTTTATTTTATTGTTTGGGTGGAAGAGAAAGTGATTTCACCAAGGGTAAAGATAAAAAACAGTGACTTGCCGAAGATTGGTATATGTGTGGAACTGGCCCCAGTTGCACCTTTACATTTTTTCTAAAGGATGCAGGCAAGTATGACTTTACTACTACACAAGTTTTTCTAGTCTGATGAAAACCCCAAATTTGGGATACTCCTTGGGGCAGAAAATATTAGGAGTTGATTACTACTCTCAGTTGTGGAACGTGGGGTGTGTAAGCTATTATGCGGTCATGGTAAGGACTGAAAATAGGTAAACGAGAAGGTGAGTTGGAGAAGTATGTAAATAAAGGCTCCTACATGGCAAATGTAACAATATACTTATATACCCATAACCCATCCAAATTTCGTAGTATGTACATATTTAAAATGTCTTAGACCAACTCACCAACTCCTTATTAATTAACTCTCTTATAAAGGCAATATATATGATATTAATTGGTATACGAATTGGCCGGTAGAGTCAATTATGCTGTCATTAGTGCAGTATAATACTCTATACTTATCATCCACCCAAAACAAGCAAGAAAAATAAATAGTGGATGTCTGCAATGAATCTCTTTCTGCAAGTGTGTTGATGAATGTTTCTCTTATTTTCAAAATGAACCACATTTTTATGACTTTCAGAGAGAACCGCTTTAAAATGGAGTTTTTTTCCGTATTAATGTTAATTAATTAAATAATTACACAAATAGGGTTGGGTTAAAACTATTTACCAATATACTGCCAGCTTAACCATGGTCGGGGTAAGTCGCCAAACCACTTGTCATTTGGGTATATTACAATGTAGGTAGTTTTTTCTATTGAAAATTTGAATGTGTATAAAGTGTGTATATTAATGTGTACTCATGAAAGTTGGACATGTATTGTTATTAGAATATGGATTTCTCAAGCTTTCCAATCATATGTCATTGGCGAGGGAACTATTATGAGGATGCTGGGCAAATATGCTTTCAAGGTGGTAGAACCAGCTTTGTCATGGTTTCTCGTGGCGCATGCATGCTGGAGATCCTTCAAAAAATACATGCAGCCACAATGATTCATCCTAGCCGTTCTTTACGGTTGAAAATGAAATTTCCTATGAACGGGGGAAAGTACATGCTTATGCCCCTCATTGATGAGCTAGCTATAACAAATATGTGGGGTATAACTCAGATGGAGGATATGTCGACGCTTGAGATATACATTGAGGAATCCTGCGACGCTTATGGTACTCAATCAACATCAAATGTTGTCGTATCGACACATGATGTCAATGCAAGGGTGAATGCAGGGAACTCCTCAAAGGCTCCTGTACTGGACATGGTTATACAGGAAGATGGTAGGTATTTGCACAACGGTGCATCATTTGTGGATGGACAGGGAAGTGATGATGATGCTGACGAGAACATCAATGGTGATGACATGACAGAATCTGATGAAGATGATGGTGATACTGTCACGGCAACTGCCCCGTCTAGCAACTTTACTAGAATGTATGAACTCCCTGAAGGCTTTACTGATGCGTGGATGAGTGGATCAGGTGAGAAAAGGTTTACCCCCAATGGTGAGTTTGAGGTCGGTCAACAGTTTGACAACAAAGAACAAGTCATCAATATGATGAGCTTGTATTCTATCAAACGGAACCAATTTTATCGGGTGATAGAGTCCGATAAACACAAGTGGGTGGCACAATGCAAAAGGAAGAAAGAATGTGATTGCCCCTGGAGAATACGTGCCACAAAGAACAAAGGCAACCTTGACACCTTCACAATTGTGCGTTATCCTGGACCTCATTCTTCTACGTGCGTTGGCAACACCGACACTACCGATCACGTGGCTTTGACTTCAGATTTCATCTCTAAAGACATTGTTGAGCTTCATTTGCCTGATAGAGTATTGCGACAGTTTGGGTTTGAGCATGTCGTTCCACGGCCTATCGACACTTATGTTGAGCTGCATAGGCTGGATAGGCGTGGGAAACATACAGAGGATTGGGCACTCAGACATATCCGATACGTGACTATGTGGGAAAGGAGAGCTGAGCTAGTTGTGGCTGGGACACCGACATATGTGCCATCTGTTTCAGGAGACTACATGGGATGGTATTACAACATCACTCGTTTGTTTGTGTCTCCTTCGTTCAGACTCCCTACTCATCATTATCAGCCTAGCTCCTTGGCTTTGCATCTTACGGTGAGTATATTAGTAATTAGTAAAGTATGTCATTTTATTTATGTAATATTTGTATGCATTTCAATGTAAATGTAATTGTGTTTCATATTTCAGACACGAGCTTTGCAGCACATACATCAGCAGGCTACTGCCACAGTGACTGATAGTCATGATGTGGACATGTATGGACAGGCTCTGACAGGCATTGCGTCCTTGTGTTCAGATGTGTTGGGGCGAGTCGACTACGGCCATCTTATACACATGCCCCCATCTCAGGAGATGTCATCCACGTCTAGTGCAGCGGCTTCTTCATCATCCCAGACGCAGCATGAGAGAGTGGTTCTCCAACCACGACAGCGGCGTAGGCGTAGACATGAGCAGCAACATCTCCATGACGAAGCTGATGATGGGAACTTGTAGTTTGTCTTTTGTATTGTATTTTTTCTTATGCAGTAGATGTTGTAGGAACAATTTACAACATTTGACGTATTTTCTCTTGTAAAGTCTTGTATGTTGTCTTGATGTGTTCGAGTATGAATATTAAATGATTACTTGTTATGAATATTGGATGATTGTACTGTGTTATACCGGTTATGAATGTAAGGTTTTGTATTTGATTTGTAAAGGGTATTTTCAAGGTGTTTTTTATGTTGTTGAGAGTAGGTGTTATGTATGTGATTGTGAAGACGTGTGTTGTATGTTTTATAATGTGTTGTATCTGGCTCGTAACACTTAAACAGGAGAAGAGAGACCTTATTTATACCAAACAGATGAGTCCGGGTTGAACTGGGGCGAAAAACCTGCTGAAATTCTGTTTTCGGAATTAGGCACGATCGTGCCTACCCTTGCATGCACGATCGTGTCTGGCTGGCAGTAGCTGCTGGCCTTCGCACATATACAAGCCGTTGGGCGACTTACCCCTGACCGTGGTTAAACCCAGCAGTATATTGGTAAATACTTTTTTCCAGCATTATTTTCGTAATTAATTAATTAATTAACATTAATTCGAAAAAAAACTCTTTAAAATGATCTACCTCCATCCCTCTGACATAATATCAAGAAAAATGGAATTGTGTGATTGATAATTTGATATTAGATTGATAGTATGAATAAAGTAAAAATGAATTGTAATAATTCAAATATTATTAAATATGACATGAGACAAATTTAATGAGACAGACGAAAAAGGTAAAATGAAACAAAAATAGAGATCGGAGGGGATATCAACTACCACTCATAAACAAATGATAACACGTACTTCGTGCTTGTGATATAGTTTTTTTAATAATTTAACTATGTTAATATACAACAAAGGTGATATAAATCCCTTTTTCATCATAAATCTAGTAATTTAACTCATCAAAAGCTTATGCCAAAATATCAAATAAGTGACATCATTTTGAGACAACTTTTAGTATTTCATTGCTTGGTATCAATCATTATAAAACCAGCTATACGCCTATACCTAAGGGATGGTACAATCATTTGATGCTCAATAAGTTCTAAAACTTTTATACTCAAAAGTAGAGTTTGATTATATTATAATTGTGGAAAGACAAGAACACATGTTTCCAATATTATTAATAAGGGCTAAACAAGTTTTATCCATGCTGATTTTAAAGCTGTAGTGGACAAAACTCAAAAGAATTTGGTAGTCATTGTAACATTCTTAATTCCTTACTGATTATAAAACTTGACTGGGCGAAAAATTACATGAAACTCTCACTTGTATCCACGCATAATTAAAAGAGACACTGTGCAAATGAACGAAATATCGCACTAACACGCCATTTTACATACAAGGCAAGTACAAGTGATGGGACCAACATATACAATGAATAGAGGTTTTGTTTTTATTACTCCCTCCGTCCCGCTATGATTGTCCCAATTTACCATTTCGGTCCGTCCCACTAAGATTGTCTCATACCTTATTTGGTAAAGTTTGTGTGGTTCTAAATCATTCCTACTTTATTCTTACTTTATCAATTCAATATCAACCACATAACCCTACTCTTATTAATAACCGTGTCACCTTCTCTTGTCCCAAACTTAGGAGAACGGAGGTAGTACTTTTTATTTATATTAACAAATAAAAATGACAAAGAACTACGTTGAATTTGATTTATGTATCACTTTAAAGAAAACATGTAAGAATTTAGGGAAATTATCCTAAATATGACTAAAAACGTTTGTATGTTCCAAAATAGGACTGTTATATTTCTGTTCCCAAAATGGGATTAATTATTGCCATGTTTAGGCAGTACCACACTTTAAACATGGCAGTATTTTTCAAACGTGGCAGTAATTATTCTTATTTTGGAAATAAAAACATCACCGTCCTATTTTGAAAATTTTAAACTTTTATACTCCTATTTCGGGAATTTTTCCTTTAATTTAAAGTGAAAACTATATTGTTTCAAATAGAATGTGTGCTAGCTCACTTCTTCTTTTTTATTCTTTTTTAATACTTTAAAGTATTTATCATTAGTATGTAAACGCAACTACACATATGATTGTTATTTATCATTAGTATGTAAATGCAAATACACATTCTTGTTTCATTATTGATATGTATATGTGTACCTGTCCCAACACATAACAAAAAAAATAGGTTTAAATATGGTTTTAGTCCCTGCAAATATAGATCACTTTGTTTTAAGTCCCTGCAAAATATTTTCTTTGTTTTTCATCCCTGTAATATGCATTGTTTTTGTTTTAGTCCACCTCTAACTACGAAACAACTCTACTTAGAATTTTTTTTATTGTCGGTTGCATAAATCAACTAGAAGCGTTTAAATTTATCAGTTTATAATTTTGTTGAGGTTAATAAGAGAGTTAATACAATTATAAAACTAATTATTCCCATTCTAAAAAATGTTAATAAAAAATCCTTTAAAAATGTAATTAAATACTTTTTGAATGGTATGACAAAGAATTTAAGGATACCTATTAGTCGGGATTGTTTCAATGTCAAATAGAGGTTGTTATCATTAGTCATGGACTAAAAAGAAAATGAACATTAATTTCGGATGAAAAACAAAGAAAATATTTTGCAAGGACCTAAAATAAAGTGACCTGTATTTGCAGGGACTAAAAACATATTTAAACCTAAAAGTACACACAAACCGACAAATATACACATACACTGATACACACATATGGATGGAAATGGCTTTAGATAATTGTCAAACCTCGTGATTAAAATGAATTAGACAACTTTAATACAAAGGTATTAGAAATTTAAAATGTTAAAAAACGGAGGCTAAAAGTAGAGAGCCTCTTAACTGGCAAAAAGAAAGAAAAACGGAAAAGGGAAAGGAAGGAAAAAAAGAGGACCCCATGACAAAAAATATCTTTAATTTTGAGTCTCATTTAGTTATTACGGAGTATATTTCATTTTTCTAGTCAAAGATGTTAGACTTTGACTATTAATGTATTCATATAAGAAACTATCAACAAGAAAGCACTTAAAATATGAAAGTGATATGAAAACGTTCCTTTTTAAAAAAAATACTACATTATTACCATAAAACTATATTATAATTTATAATTTTCAAAATAATATAAGTGTTAAAAAGGTTAACCAAAGTTTACCGTCATTGACTAAAAAAGTCAATGATGAGTAACTAAAATGAGATGAAAGTAGTACTCCGTATAATTTTCTATTTTGCTCCAATTTTTACAAAAAAAATATCAAAATTCAATTATATATATATATATATATATATATATATATATTATGACTCTAATATTGCATATATAAAGTTTTAAAAAATGAAAGTTTCAAGCGTGAGAGATTTTTAGGTTAAAAAATACGAAGCAATTTTCTTATTCATATCTCTACACAAATAAACAAATTTTACTTAAACCTATTTTATGTTTTATTAATAAAAAAAGTAAAAAAAATAACAAAATTTTTATTTTTAAACATGGAAATGTGCATTTTTAGGTTCATAATTATTCCTGAAGAAAATGAGAGATAAATCTTGCTTATAATAATTTAATTAATATTTTATTAAATGAATATGTAAAAATATAACGAGTATATTTTATTGACGTGTTTGAATGCAGAAAAAAATTGTATCAAGGAGGTCCATTAGTCCATATAATTTCTTCATATCTACTAAATCCATATTTAAATTTTCTTACAGTGGAGAGATGGACGTATTCTTAACGATAAATGTAATCACAAAAAAAGAAACTATTTCTAATACTATCGTACCATTTTGCGTAAAAGAAAATGAAAAAGAGTATCTACGAATATATTCTCTCCTAATTATTCATGAAAACGGAAGCAAGTGCTCTGTATCACTTTGAGGTATCCTTTGATTGCTGGAAAAGGACGGTTGAAAGAGGAAAGTGAGAAATCTCTTTTTTATTTTTCAGAGACGAAAACGTATCCAACCACATAAAGGCTAAAGCTACTCAAGAAATTGAAGAGAGGGAAAGTGGTTCCCGTTTCAACGAATATGGATGTTTTCTTTTGGACTGTTTTCAGTCCCAGACCAGACTTAAATAGACTAGACTAGACTAGACCAGACCAGATCAGACCAGACTTAAACGGGCAAGACCAGACTTCCGTAGTTATAAAATACACAGAAACCAGACGTTTACCAGACCAGACCAGACCAGTTCAGACCAGACCAAACCAGACTTAAACAAACCAAACCAGAACAGCAAATTTCAGTCCAAAAGAAAATATCCTATGTCCCGCCCCTCCCTCCTCTCTATTATTCAATCCCCCAATTTCACAGTGAATATGTATTTCCATTCCTACCATAAACATACATATTCCCAACTAATTTATACTCTGTACGTATTCAGTTTGTCAATTCAATTTTTACTGCAATCCTGCCCCCGTCAATATATTCAATCATCAAAGTTTTTCTTTAATTAAAGCCTTCATTTTATTATTATAAATTATTTTTTTGATTATCATTTTTTGCGTGTAAATATGATATTAAAATAGGAACATTTTGATGTAAAAATAAATAAATTTGGAGTTCAACTTTTTTATTGTTAATTTATTCATATTTTTATTTTTAAACTATATATATATGATATTGGTTTCATATGAAAGGTTATAAAAAATTATGAAATTTGATATACTTTTTATAAAATTTGAAGTAAATATACAAAAGATATAATACATTTAAAATATTTGGGGTTTTTAAATTTTCCAACTCTAGTGAAATGCATGTGCAGGTGATTACTGCAGCAGTTTCCTATCCGTCAATAAGCTGCATAATACCCACCCCTCCGTGCTATCCAGCCACTTTGACATCGAGAAATACATGGGATTGCAGCATATATTGGGGCGAAAGGATTAAATTTGGCTTTTCACCCTAACGTTTACTGACAGCCTCATAAGCCAACTCAACTGATTAGAAAAGCTTTTTGAAA